GGAAGCCTGATGGGCTCTTTTATGGTCAGAAGTGGTGTAAAGAAGAGCCAGAGCAATGTCAACCAGAAGGAGCACTTTGGGCCCATGTACCTTCAGGGCACTGAGAAGGCTGGACAGGACAGAAGTTCATTTGGCATTCTGTGTGAGTCACAGAGGTCCCATAATGTCTGAATCTGAGGACTTCAAGGCAGAACTTCCTGGACCTCAGTCTGAAATCATAGCACAGAGTGCTTCCTCCCTTGTGAATGAGAATAGTAACTTACACTGTTACATTTTACCTGTGTTGCTGAGGTAGCAAGCCAAAGGGTAGTCCACTTGTTTTATATATGCTGTATGCTTATACTTTGTACTGGTTTGGATGTTGCTGCTGTAAGCAGCTAAGGAATGTGCTACTTGCTCAGTCAGTGATGAATCCATTCAACTCAGTATCCTGTCTCCAGCAGTGACATTAGGAAATTCTGTTTAGGAAGTGCAAACAAATATGACTCCTATCTGAGTACCATTCCCAGCATCCAAAAGTTATAGACTCATCTCTGCCTTCTCTCTGTTTATGGACATGTTGTCCATGAATTTGTCTACCTTCTTTTTGGAACTGCTCATATTGTTTGCCTTTAAAACATGCCGTGACTACGTATTTTACAAGCTCATGTAAGAAAGTACTTTATTATAACTGTTAAATGGGATTTACTGAACAAGTTTTTCATTCATCTTATTTCCAGGGAGCCTTCTCCTCTCTTCATTGAAAACCTCAGCTTTTTAAGGCTCCCTTGATAAGAGATACTGCCCTTCTCAGTACCTCTCCTCAGTGCATTATGTCCTTCTTGCAATGCTGAGAGCAGTGACAAGCATGAGTCAGGATGTGGGTGCACCTGGGTTTTATGCATTGGCAAAACAATGCTCTCTGCATTGCTCTCAACACCCTTCCTGACGATGCTCAACAATTTGATGCTTCTTATGGCTGACACTGCACATTGAGGTGATGAATGAAACTGGGAATAACTAATGAGAACACACTATTGTGATCAAGGCTGGCTGTGGTATGAAGTTAAATACAGCCATATTTAACTTTTCCTTTTAAACTGTATTCTATTGCCAGTCTCAGTAAAAGACAAATATTATCAGCCAGGGTAACTCCTCCAAATTGGACAGCTTTGGGTCACTGTATTTTTGCAGTCTTCCCTTTTTCTCTGCCCAGAGCATTAGTAGTACACCTTATGGTGCAAACTAGAGCACCTATAAGTAAGATGCCTGCATGTTCTTTCTGCATTTGTGTGCAGGGGCCCAAGGTGACTTTTAAGCTTAGGTCTCTTGTTCAAAAACTTGATTATAACGATGTGGAAACACTTCTTTCTGATGCACCCTTTTGAAGAGGTTTTATGACTCAGATGCAAAAACTAACTTCCAGATGAAAGTATAGTAGAAGCTTTAGCCCAGGAGCAACACCTACCCAGTTTTATAACCCTGTCGTACATATAGCTTTAATAAAAGCCTGTAGAATAAACAAAACTCAGCTATAGAAACAATTAGGCAATAGCAGTTGTAATTCAGGGAACTTCCAGCAAATTAGTAACAACCTGTGAAGAGCCTGTGGCCTGAAAGGCAACCTTGAGTCTCTAATTCCTAGGAAATTGTTTGTGATGTGGTGGTTATTGCTGCTTAACAATTAACACCTAGAAGACTTAAAAAAATTTCGCTTTTAATGTCTCTTTTCCATTTTCAGCATGTGAAGTCTGATTCTGGCATGAATCACAGCTCTTTGAGATCCACCTCTTTCAGGAGGTCTGCACAGCTATCTGTGAACTAGAGCATCCTATAAAGAGCTGAGACATTGATCCAAGGAAGCAATCAGGTACATGTGTGATTCTTTCTCTGTGGAGCTCTCAAAATCAGAAAAGCTTTTCTGGAACATTCCTCCCAGAATTTTAAACAGTCTGGAGGACACACACATTTTATTTTGTACATAAAAAAAGAAAAAAAGTTTGATTGCTACCAGGTTTTTTTCCTTCAATGAATCAAATGGAAATTGCAATTCTATTTTATGTTACAAAATATTTACACCTTTTAGTGCCCGATGTTTCTTGGCATTTTTTTCTCTTTTCTGTAGCCACTTTCAGCATATCTGAATCTATTCAAATGTCAATGAATCTTCACAGCTCACTCCTTCAGTGCAGACAGAGTCCCTGATAAAGTACTTCTCCCACTCAAGAAATGTCTCTGGAAAGGAGTTAGTCCTTTCCTTGAGATCTGATAACAGACAGTCAGGGAGGTATCTGAAACAGTAACAAGCCTTCTATGCTCTGTGTGTGCCAGTTTAACCTACTGTGCATAAATCCTACTGATGGCACTAGTTATGCCTAAAATTAAAGATACACAGTAATTTTATACTACAGTCCTCTGCTTAGATATCTCTACAAGCAAATTTAATGCAGTCCTCAACTATTTTGGATGCTCTAGAAATCTGAGTGTGTCCCAGAACTTCATAGGCCTCCTGGTTCAGGTACTTGACACACAAGCAGTCATATGACATACACTCAGCCACAAGTGTTAATCAGAAAGTAATTAATCACAGATTCCATGTAGCTTGTATGTGAAAATCCTCACCAGTTATACCGGATCCAGACAGACTCGGTGTGGTGAAAGGAGTTTAGCTTCCTGTAATAGTGATGTAGCTGCCCAGCTGCTCTCTGGAGCAAGGAATTAACATAGAAATACAATGCCTGTCACTTCTAAATTGGGTTCTGTGGCCTCTTAAGAAGAGAAGAATGAGTGAACTTGAGAGCCCAGGGATGTCTAGAGTCTAGGGATGGCAACATCAGTTTGGAGATACTTAGAAATTTGAACAGGTCAGAATCCCACTTCTTGCTCTCTCAGTGCATTTTTCAAGTTTTTTAAATTTATTGAATTTTTTTTCTTTCAGGGCTGGCTGCCACTACTGCTTACATCAGTGGAGAGATTCCCACTGAATTTCAAGGGCAACTGGATTAGTTACTGGTTGTTGTACTGAAAAGGCATGCAATTAAAAAAGCTACCACATTGTTCTCACTGGGCTGGAGCCAAGGATGACCAAGTGTGCTTGCTCAAGTTCAGCTGTGCACTGTCACCCACGAAGGCAGTCGGTTGCACTTAGGATGCAACCCAGACAGTGGAACCCGGCCTGGCCAGAAGCTGCAGTTTGGCAGCTTAGACCCACTGGATCTCTAACCAGGCACAGGGAGCAGCTACAAGGGATTTCTTTTAAGAGTCAGAGCTGTAATTTCCAAATGATAGGGTTTGATCTGATGAAGTTATGTCAGTACGGCAGCTGGTGAGACTTCTGTCAGCTGTGTGGTTTACCAGGAGGAACCTTCAGCTGGAAAACAATTCTCAGGTGCTTCGCACTGAATGGAAATTGATGAAAAGGTGGTTTTATTAATTCTTTTTGTATAGTGTTTATTGCCTCATTTATATACTCCCTAGCATTTAAAAAAATACTTTTCTGAAGTAATTAATTATTTCCTACAAATCTTATTGATATGAAGGGGTGCCCTACACTGTTTAACTCCAGCTATAAGTCTCAACCTCCCAAACAGTAAGGTGTCTATGTGCCTTCAGAGAACCATTGAGCAGTTTGAGTTGGAAGGGACCTTTAAAGGTGATCTAGTTCAACTCCCCTGCGATAAGCAGCAATATCTTCATTGGGATGCTCAGAGCTCCATACAACCTGACCTTTAATGTTTCCCGGGATGGTACATCTACAACTGCTCTGGGCAAGCTGTTCCAGTGATTCACCATGCTCATTGTAAAACTTTTCTTCCTTATATCTAGTCTGAATTGACTGTCTTTCAGTTTATAAAAAATTATCTCTTGTCCTATCACAACAGGCCCTGCTAAAAAGTCTGTTCCCATCTTTCTTACAAACCCCTTTTAAATACTGAAAGGCCGTAATATGGTCTCTCTGGAGTCTTCTCTTTTCCAGGCTGAACAACCCCAATGTCCTCATTCTTCTGAGTCTTCTCATGAACTCCTGTTGAAATAGTTGCTTCCTTAATGCTATGCATATGTTTTGAGGGCTCAGAAAGGACAGGGAAATTACAAACATGTGAGCTCAAAACTTTTGAGAAAATGACGACTGCCAGTGTTTCCGTAATCAAAGATATGCTCTGTAAACTGTCCCTGCCTCTCCTTTTCCTTTCTCCAAGATGAATGAAACGTGAAACAGCGTATTAAGCCTGGGAAGTAAGTTAAGGTTATAAAATTAATAGCATTTGATGATGTCATGTCCCTTTTGATGACAAGGATAAAACATGTCCAAAACAGTGCCGGGAGAGGACTTTTTGGGGGGACTGGCTGGGGGTGATGGATGGTGCAACAAGCGGATCCACTCACTGCAGCAAACGCACGATCCCCTCGGCCGGGCTCATCTGCCCCTTACCCCGCCCGGGGCCCTCTGCGGAGCGCTCCCGCCGGCGGAGGGGCGGCCGGGGCAGCCCCTGGGGCCGGGGTTAACCTCGTGTTACCGCCGACCCTCTCGCAGATCACCCGCCCCCGGGCATCGCCCGAGGGCTAGGGCGCTCCCCGCGCCGCCGCTCCCTCCGGGGGTGCGCACCAAGGCCGGGAAACTTTCGGAGGGAACCACTTCCTCGCCCGCTCTGCTGGGGGGGAGATGTCAGATGCCAGGCGGGAGAGAGGGAGGGGTGAAGGCGGGGAAGGGCCAGCCGCAGACCCTCCGCCCGCTGCAAGACGGCCATTTAAGCCCTGGGCGAGGAGCCGGCGGGAGGAGGTGAGAAGCGGCGGCGGAAGGAGGTGACCATCCCGGCTCTCCAGCAGCCGCTGTCCCGCTCGCCCCCTCACTCCGCCCCGCGCACGGCTTCCCCCGCGGCTCCCGTCCCCCCGCCTTTCCGTGGGGCGGGCAGCGCTGGAGGGAGCGGCGGCGGGCGGGGCGCGGGGGAGGGCCGGGGCGCCGGGCGGTGCGGGGCGGCAGCCCGGCCATGTCTCCGGCGGAGGCGGCGTCGGGCTGAGCGGCCGTGCGCGCAGCGGGGAGCGCTCTCCGCCACCATGAGGCGGCTGCCGCTGCCCCTGCCTTGCCTCCTCCTGCTGCTGCTGCTGCCGGCCGAGGTGAGACGCCGTGCGGGAAGCGGGGGTCTGCCGCACCTGCCCCCGCCGGGGCTGCCCCGCCGCGCTGGGGGGAGCGGGCGGCCGGCGGGGCAGGTGTGCGGCCGGAGCTCGGGCTTTGTCCCGCAGCGGCTCTGCCGGTGCCGCCCGGGGAGGGCAGGGGAGGCTCGGGGGCCCGCGGCGCTCACCTGGGGCGGGATCCCCGCGGCCTCGGCTTCCGCCGGCGGTCCCCGCCTGTCCCCCCCCGGGGGGTCTGAGCCCCGCCCGGCCGCAGCGGCGGGGATGTGGTCGGGTGAGTCCCTGCGGTACAGTCGCGTGGCTCCTGGCGGGGCGTGAGGCTGCCCCGGTTGTTTACCCCGCTAAAAGCTGCCTTAGGTAGAACAGGGACGGCTCCCGTCTCCCCAGCGTTGTAGCCTGCCGTCCTCGTGTCGCTGCTGGTTAATTAGTAATAGGTTATTTGCGCATTGTCCGTGGCGGTAGTGCACATCACCCGCTGGGTTACAGCCTTCAGGATCAGTGTGGAGTTTCCACGGGAAAATCCTGCCCTGTGCAGAGTGAGCAGACCTGGCGATGCAAGGCAGCAGGAGGACTTTGCCTCCACACTTGGGTTTGAGGCCCCACTCTGTTCCCAGGTGTGTTTCAGGATGTTCTTCCAAGAACACTTTTCAGTGATGTAAATCAGAATCGCTTGCCAGGTGACCCACTGACAGAGTGCTGGCATAGACTTTCACCCCGTGCTTCTCTCAGCTGATAGATTCCTAGTGTTCCCGCAGGAACGCTTCATGACTGCTGTGAATGCTAATGTTTTGGGGCTTCTTGAACTTTTGCTTTCAGATGTACCTGCTTGGCCTTTCTGCCTCAACAGTTTCTGCTACAGTAGTGTGAATGTGTATTGGTATGGACCAAGGTGCTCAGTAATTTTTGGTGACAGTTCTGCCTGAGAGCTGCAGAACAGAACTGTACCACTGCTTTAGTTTAACTATTTTTTCTCCTATCTTACACTGGTGCTGGCTTGTAATTGAAGCCAATGACTACTGTAAACCTTTGCTTCCTTCTCCTTTTGTGTCTTTCAGTTTGAGGTACCTTGCAGTGTTTTGTCATTCCATCTCTGTTTGTTCTTGTACCAAGCCTAGGTTTAAAAATCTCTTCTAAATAAGAGCTAGAACTGAATTGGATATTGAAGTATCCCAGCATTTTGGAAAAGCTCAGAGCAGGCCTGGATTGTCCTTGGGTATAGCCTTGCAGGATCTGTCTGCTGTGACCTCTATGGTTTGTAGTTTTTCTTCTCCAGCTGAATCTTGTGACATAATGATCTACTTCTAACATTTTCTAAGCCAGGGTCTTAATTGGTGTCTAGTATAATTAATAATAACATGAAAAAAAATGGACCCTCTCCTCAATTACATGTAGTTATATTTATGAATTCATCATCTTGGGACCCGGCTGCAGATCCTTGGGTAGGTCCTGTCATCCGCAATGGTATCGGAGTTCCCATCAACAGGAGGACACATCTGCAGATTCTGGTGTGGCTCATAATTTTAGGTAGGAGCTCCCCAGCTCCTGGTGTCATTACTGAAAACTGAGAAGACAGCAGTCTCAGTTGTGACTTTAGGTGTACCTGTGAATGTGAAAGCTGATGCAAGGAAGTCTCCATTCACCAGACTTCTTAGCTAGTGCTGATCAGCACCTGGTGGAATTCTGAACATTAGGAGCACTTGCTTGATCTACAGAGAGAGAGGTGGGAAGAAAGGCCCCTTAGGAGCTTTTTCCTTAGAGTAATAAGGAAAGTCCTTGCTGATGGTGTGATTCTGCAAGTCATCCACCGATTTGAAATGACTAAATTTCCCTGTGTTCACTTACGGAAGGTAGGGTAGGATCGCTCACGTGTGCAAAGGTCATTTATATAGCCCGTAAGCAATAAGGGTGCAGAATAAAGCTTTGCTTGGATGGAATCCTGACTTTAAGCACCATAGTCTTGTCCATACCAAGATGTCAGGATGTTCTCTAACAGGGCACACTTTTGCTCTTTGTGTTGGGTTCTTTGCATAGGCTAAGGCAGATATTGGAGTTGGCAGTTGTCGCTTGTGGTGTGGCATGTGCTCAGGTACAGGGACGTGGCCTGGGGCTACCTGGTGAGGTATTTAGCTGGTGTAAGAAGATGACAGCAGCTGGCAGGACTGTCAGGCATGTGGCACGAGCTGGACTTTGTGTGTTGCCAGTAAGAACTATTGCCTCTTGTCTACAGTCTCCCAGCCAGCCCCTGAGTGGAAAGGCGGCAAGTTGGATGGAAGTGGCTCTTGGCTGGATCTGGCCTCTGCACTGCCTTTCAGATGACTGTGGGGTCGGTGAGGGGACAGCAATCCTTACACAGACAGCATTGTCGGCCCAAATACACGCAAGGACTGGGAAGCAGCCTGAGCTATGGAATGACTGTGTCGTGGCAGATCTGGAGGGGTGTGACTGGCATATGATCTTTCTGTGGTGTCTTTTACTCAAGGATAAGCATCTTCTGTATTTTTGATTAATTCCAACAGAGTGGGCAAGGTTGGAGTTGTTTGAAAACAAACCTTGCTGTGTGTTTTTATTGAGAGTGATTATATTACTGATAATGACAACTAATGTCTACTACTAAAAGAGCAACAGACTTTTAAGCTCTGGTGTTTGTGTGCTTGTTTTGGTGCTTAGAATTATAAATGCCTTTTATGTGGACCTAATAGCTTGTTCTTACAGCTTATTCCATGCACAGAACTACTGATACTGTGTGAGTTGATTATATAGGATTATGACTTAATTACTGGTCTGAATTTCCAACTGAGGAATTTAAATGAAGAACCGTCTTATCTCAAATGTGGGCTTGCCATGTGTGCATGTTGTATATAAGATAACTTCTGCTATATATTGGTCATTATTAATCATCCTTAATCATTCTTGTTGATTATTCTCCTGTATAGTAGTCTAAATTTTAGTTTGTGAAATTATTCTGGGTTATCTTCAGCACGTGCACGAAATACTTAATAGTAAGTACCATCTAACAAAAATATTTTGCAAATACTTTATGATAGGTCTACATACAGCTCATTTAGAGGCTTTGAAAAGAATAAAGCTTTAGAAATGTGAGGCTCCCTTGCTGCTACTATACGTGCACTTCTAGGGTAAAACCTTTAATGGCCACTATTAGAAACAAGGGTATGAGCATCGCTTATCTGGAGACCTGAGCAGGCCTGAACATACACAGCATAGGCCAGAAAGAGAAGCTGTAGCTGTGAACTGAGTTTGCTTGTGTCGGAGGAGCTTAGAAATATACTTTTCATCTGTCAGGACAAGTTATTTTTATATGATGACTGACTGTTGATGCTGAAGTGCAAGGGCTTTCATTTTTGTCTAAAACTGCAACACAGGTTAATTTCCTGTGCTTCTTTATGTTCTTCACAAAACCCCACAACACAAGCACCTTCTGCAGTACTCAATAGATGCTTTGTTTCCAGCGTGGCATGGATGTGCGTAGTGCTTCCTTAGCAGCATAGGCTGGCTGCACATTGCAGCACACTCAGATGATTTCCAATACTTTGTGTCTCCAACCAGCAACACACAACAAAATATCTTCTTCTGCATGTTTGAGATCACAATTCAGGCCCACAGTGGAAATGTTGCCTGTGCAAACAGACACGCTATTATTAGTACTTCCTCAATTATGTGAGCTACATGCAAGTCTTTGTTGAGAATTTTCATGGCATGTAATTTTTTTTGGTTGGAGCTTCTAAATATGAATGGAATTGCTACTGTTTTAAAATCTTTGGTGGTTCATTGTATAGGGCATAATCCATATAATTTTAATCTATGCATTTCCTTCTTTCTGCTAGAATTACAGTGTATCGTAGAGTGAGCATTTTGACAGTGTTAGAGAGTGGTTGGGGACTGGGAATTTGATGTTTGTAGGTACGAAGCCCATCTCATGTTGTTTACTTGGGGTTTATGCTTGCCTGCTTGAAAGAAGATTCCCAATATGAGCCAAGGAGAGAGAAGCCATTAAAACAGTCAGTGGCTGCACATCTGGTTGTTAGCCTGATGTGACTGCTTTTAGTTAGACTCCAAAATTTGAATGTAAATAGTAGCTTGAACATCATGAAAGGTTGCTGGAAGTGTAGGAGGAGCTATTTGAATTTTCTCTATCAGAGAGGGCCTACTTCTACGTAGAAATGGGAGAGTGAAAGAGAACCTTGCCTTAAATGGAGCTATCAGTAGGAAATTAATTTCCAGCAGGAGGTGACTGTGCAGGGGAGGACTTTAATTGGTGGGGGGGAAGACAATGAAATGTAGGTGAGCATGTGCTAGTATGAAGTGATAGAAAACAAAGAGTGTTGGGAAAGAGTGATCAGGCATGTGCAGGAAGAGAAGAACAAAACAGATGCACTGTTCTGGAAGGCTGCACTGAGGCTTTTCTCTAAGTGCTTTCCAGCTGTTCCCAAATGTATCTGCACATAAACAGGCCCCCTGGGGCTATTAATCCAAAATTCCAGGAGAAAATCCAAGATTAAGTGGGAAAAGTATTTCTGTAATCCAACAAAGAATGGACATGTATATGGGGTCCAACTAGAGCTAAATTGATAAATTTGTGGCCTCATTTAGTTGTCTTCTCTGCCATTTGTGGGCATCCAGTGGAAAAGGCAGGGGAAGATATGTCCATTTGTCCTTCCACAAATGTTGGTATTTGGCACATCACTGAATGTAATTAGGGTTATTTTCCTACCATCACCAGGAAATTGGAGGAATCCCTTGATATTAGAAACCACACAGTTCAACCATCGCTGTTTTCCTTCTGTGCTCTATGTGAAGATACCAAGGGCCCACGTAGGAAAGCCTCTTTTTCCACCTGTAGCAATGCAGTAGGAGAGAAGGTAACAGGAGAAAAGGTAACTGTGCTTTTAACTGCATCTCAGGATAGAAGAAATTGTACTTACAGCTATAAATGGAGGAATGCTGGTGTCTGCTGTGGTAACGGACCT